ATTGTTATGTTGATTTTAGTTTAACTATATGGAGTTTAATTTTCATACATCCATTGTTATGTTGATTTTAGTTTAACTATGGAGTTAGGCAAGTTACTTTTTCATTATGCAACTAAGTTGTTATATTGTGTGCCCTAGACAAGAAGGACCCTCCAGTTCTGAAACTTACAAAACGCATGTGGGAGATATTTCTTACCTTGGATGATTCAGAGTTTATGTATGCCGTAAAAGAGCCTACACAAGTAACATTCCTTGCAGCAGAAGTTGGAAATTTCGAGTTTCTATCTGTGGTGATGAGCACTTATCCTGATTTGATTTGGGAATTAAACACCTTAGGTCAAAGTATAATTCATGTTGCTGCTTTGCACCGTCATTCTAGCATCTTCAATTTGATACACGAAATAGGACCAACCAAAGATTTCGTATTAACATATATGGATGATGAAGGCAACACTTTACTCCACTGTGTTGCAAAATTAGCACCACAAGTTTTAAATTAAAGTAAGTATTAGCTAGGAAGAGATAAGATTATCTAGAAAGTTAGCTAGGAGGGATATAAAAAGGGGATCAGGGGAAGTCTGAGGGGAGGAAAAGTTATTCTTTGAGAAATTGTGCGGAGCCTATGCTCTGGAAAGAAAGAGAAAGCAGATCACTTCCTTAATTCTTTTTTTAATTCAATAAAGTATTCTTAAATTTCCAGGAACCTATCATCCACAGGTTGCTTCTTACTTCTCCAAGTCACCATGTTTCCCCACACAAAGGAGTAACAACATGTAGTTGATTTCTTGTTAGAGGGGCATCTTGCCCAATCCGAGTCGGTATAGACTTCTGTTAGAATAGCTTGTTTAGAAAGCTTCTTCTTAGTTACATATTTATTGTATTTTTCTGATTGGTCCTTTTTCTCCTGATGTAATTGTTTAGGTTTCTAGACTCTGTAGCCTACTCTGTAGCCTTTTTCTTCTTGTAACCCTAATCACTCTTTATAAGGGAAATATACAGATCAGTAAACCTGATCCTTTTTGGTCATTCTATTTCAATATTCAAGTTGGTATCAGAGCGGGGTCGATCCCGCTCTGCAGTCCGCCGCTGTTCGTCGCCGTCCACCGCTGTCCGCCGCCGTTCGCCGCTGTCTGTTACTCTGGTGAACCTAGGGTTTGGTGCGCCTTGTCAAGCGCGACCTAACCCCATCAACTCCGGCGTTGTCAGAGTCTCCACGCGCTCTGACGCGTCGTTTCTCTCTCCAGTTCTGTCAAGCACGTACTATTCACGCGTTGCTCTCTGTTCGTCGGAACCTCCTCATTTTGCCACCGCCTTGTTCGTCGGAGCCTCCTGAGCCTATTTCTGGACTCAGTTTTGTGATTTGACCACTGTTTAGGGTGTGAGCCTGCGTTTCTCTTCTTCGGTTCTTCTCTCTTAATTCCTGTTGCACGACCCATCTTCGTATGGCATCTCTAGGCCCTATTTTGTCTATTTCCGGCACCCCGACCATAACCACGGAGAAACTCAATGGAAAAAATTATTTATCATGGGCTGCCTCTGTGGAACTATGGTTCCTTGGTCAAGGGTACCACGATCACTTAGAAATGGAAAACGTTGAGGGTTCAGAAGAAAGTCAGACTAAATGGAAGAAGCTTGATTTTCAACTATGTGCTGTGTTGTGGCAGTCGGTTGAGCCCAATATTTTAGGGACCCTTAGAGCCTTCAAAACTTGCTGTTCTTTCTGGAAAAAGGCCCAAAATATTTATGCAAACGATATTCAGCGATTATATGATGCTGCTCAGAAAATAGCATCCTTGAAACAAATTAATCATGAAATGACGTCTCACGTTGCTGAAGCCCAAGCTGCTGTAGAAGAATTAAAAATGTTCCTGACAGATGATTCATTAGAGGGAATAAATAAGAAACTTGATAGGCTATATATGGTGCTGATTCTGAGAACATTGCACCTAGACTTCAATCATGTCGGTGACCAGATTCTGACCGGCCACGAGATTCCTTCAATGGACAGCCTAATAACTAGACTTCTTCGTGTTCCTACAGAAGTGAAGAATGAAAACTCTGGTGGAATTGTTGAGGCTTTTGCAATGGTTTCAAGTCAGGGTAGAGGTGGTCGTGGAAATCGAGGAGGAAGAGGAGGTAGAAGTGGTCGTCCTCAATGCTCATACTGCAAGAGGATGGGTCATATCCAAGAGAATTGTTATTCTCTTCATGGTTTTCCAGAGAAGATAGCAAATCTGTCCAAGTCTGAGAAATTAGGAAAATCTGAGATGAAGGTTCCTGAAGATGACTATCAAGAATATCTTCAATGGAAATCTACGAATCAAGCTCAATCTTCCTCTACCACTACTGTTTCTACAGCTTGTATTTCTCATTCAACTACAAATCAAAGTCCATGGATCATTGATTCAGGAGCCTCTGATCACATAACTGGTAATAATTCTATGTTTTCTTCCATGTCCCCACTTAAATCTCCTCACCTGATTACCTTAGCAGATGGATCCAGAATTGCTCCTAAAGGAATCGGTCAAGTCTCTCTGTCATCCTCATTAAATTTAAACTCTGTTTTGTTTATCCCTAACTGTCCTTTCAACTTAATCTCTTTAAGTTAGTTAACCAAATCCTTAAATTGTTCAGTAACCTTTAATGCTGAATCTTTTGTTATTTAGGAATGTGGTACGGGTCAGAAGATTGGCGCAGGACATGAATCTGGAGGTCTCTACTATTTTGAAATGCAACCACCTGTATCTTGTGTTGCTGTTTTGTCACCCAAGCTTTTGCATGATTGTTTGGGTCATCCAAGTCTATCCAAGTTGAAACTTTTGGTCCCTAGTCTTCAAAAATTAGCAGAGTTAGGTTGTGAATCATGTCAATTAGGCAAACATGTTAGGTCGTCTTTTCCCAAGCAAACTGATAAAAGATGTAACTCGATTTTCACCACCGTTCATTCCGATATTTGGGGTCCAAGTCGTGTAACATCTTTTGGTTTAAGATATTTTGTAACTTTTATTGATGAATTTTCTCGATGTACTTGGGTATATTTAACGAAAGATCGTTCTGAGCTTTTGTCTATTTTTATGTCCTTCTTCAATGAGGTCAAAAACCAATTTGGGAGACTAATTAAAATTTTTCGAAGTGACAATGCAAAAGAATATTTCTCTTCTGAATTATCCTCTTTCCTATCCTCACAGGGTGTCTTGCATTAGTCTACCTGTCCACATACACCCCAACAAAATGGAATAGCAGAAAGGAAAAATAGGCACCTTGTAGAGACTGCACGCACCCTCATGCTCAATGCTAATGTTCCTGTACATCATTGGGGTGATGCAATTCTCACTTCTTGTTTTTTAATAAACAGGATGCCCTCTTCTTCTCTTGAAAATAAAATCCCTTACTCCATTATTTATCCAAAGGAACCCTTGTTTCATGTCTCACCTCGAGTCTTTGGGTGCACATGTTTTGTCCATAATGTCTCTCCTGGTTTGGATAAATTATCTGCTAGAGCAATTAAATGTGTTTTCTTAGGCTATTCTCATCTTCAAAAAGGGTACAAATGTTATTCCCTAGAGACCAGAAAATTTTACATGTCTGCAGATGTCACCTTCTTTGAACAAACTCCTTTTTTCTCCTGAACCACTCATGATTCTCTCTCAATACAACAAGTGCTACCAGATTGTTCTCATGATTCCTTTCCACCTCAACTTTCAATTCATGACCAAGAGGTTACTCAGCCTGTTATTCCCACCACTTGTAACGACCCTGCTGGCCATTTCACTCACCACCAAAACACACCGGAAACACTAGACAGAATAGAACAAGTATATAAATATAGAGTCTAGAATATAAGTATATACATATGTCCCGAATCCGACTAGAGTTAGGGCATGCAATTTAAGAATTTCATCAAAAGTCACTATGCCAAGTGACCAAAACAAACAAAACATCCTTAGAAATCAGCTCCATCCATTGGCTCCCGACTCATCACTATCCATCACCTATTCCTGCTCTGCTCCCGTACATAGTACGATCATAGCAGTCCAACCACATGGAAACACAAAGGGTAAGCTAGCATAAAAAGGAACAACGTATAGAAAGATTTAGGAAATATAAAAGCTACAATTTTCAACACTTCATCAACATACATCCTGTCGATTCTCAACATGATCATCAATAAGCATGCAATGCGTCGTCACGCATATCAACTCGGAGATCTCCTACAACAACTCAGCCTTTCGGCCTACATCAACTCAGCCATCAAGGCCTACAGCAACTCAGCCATCAAGGCCTACAGCAACTCAGCCATTATGGCCTACACATCTCAGCCAACATACAACACAGTACAACACATCATCTCACAATATATCAATACATCTTACTACAACATATAATACGACTCACCCATCTTGTTTACAATATTTCTACACTTATTCATTGTCATTAAACCATAAGACAACTCAACCAACAAGCTTTAAACATATAAGACCTTCATCAAGCAAACAATCAACTCATATAGAAAAGAAATTTATCAAACTGAGTTCCTACGCTAAGCCTAGAATCCACGCTCAGCCTCATCCCTCCAGAAACTCAACTCACTCCCACGCTAAGCCTGGAATCCACGCTCAGCCTCAAGATTCCAGCAACATTCAAAAATTTCCAGGCTAAGCGTAGAATCCACGCTTAGCGTCCCAAACCCAGAAAATTCATACCAGTTCATGAACATCTCAAATCTCCCAACATATACCCAAAACCCCTTCGAATCCATTCCATATTTTCATCAAACATTAAGAAAAATACCTCATTTTCAACATGCAACCTCAAATCAAAGAAACCCCAAAATTTTCATCAAAACCCCAAAAGTCCCCAAAATACCATTTTTCCTCAATCTCAACCAAAATCATCCATCAACAAGCAGCTAACGAGTTTCCAAGACTCATTCTCAACAAAAAAAAAGCGAACCTAGCTTCCCTTACCTCGGGTGAAGATTCCGAGTTCCGGGGGCTTGAACGGAGAAGAAGAAAGAGCTTGTCCGGAGGAGAATGTTAAGCTTGAAAAGAAGCACCACTCTCAACTAGTTCCACTTGCCTCTGGCTCAGCACCTAAAACCACCAATTTCAGAGAAAGGAGAATGAGAGGGAAGAAGAGAGAGTTTTAGTGGATGAAAGTGAAGGAAGGGAAAAATAGGGAAGGGGTCTCACAACCTCCCCAACAACAAGAGTTTTCGTCCCCGAAAACGGTCTTACTTGAGAAAAGAAAAGGATAACGCTTCCTTAACAGCTGCTCCACCTCCCAAGTAGCCTCACCGGTAGCCGCATCCCATAACACTTTTACCAGAGCAATAGACTTGCCCCTCAGCTCCTTCAGTTTACGATCAATTACAGCTACCGACAACTTATCAAAGGTCAGGTTCTCCTTCACCTGCACATCATCTAACTCCACCACGTGACTCGGGTCATGGACGTACTTCCTCAGCTGGGAGACATGAAACACATGATGCAGATTTGAGAGAGGCGGTGGCAAAGCCAATTGATAAGCAACCGGACCCACACACTGTAAGATTTGGTAGGGACCCACAAACCTGAGTGTCAACTTCCTTGCCCTCAGTGCTCTTCCCACACCAGAGGTTGGAGTCACCTTCAGAAACACATGCTCCCCTTCGGCAAATTCCAAAGGCTTCCTCCTCTTATCAGCATACGACTTCTGCTTACTCTGAGCAGTTTTCATCCTTTCCTGAATCATCTTTACTTTCTCAGTGGTCTGTAGGATTAGCTCCGGGCCTACCACCACTGATTCACCATCCTGGTACCAGCACAAAGCTTCTGCCATACAATGCTTCGAATGGTGCCATCCCAATGCTTGCGTGAAAGCTGTTGTTGTAGGTGAACTCAACCAATGGTAGGACCTCCTCCCAGCTACCCAAGTGGTCCAATACACAAGCCCTAAGTAGATCCTCCAAGGACTGGATCGTCCTTTCTGACTGACCATCCGTCTGTGGATGATAAGCAGAGCTCAATTTCAACTTCGTGCCTAAGGCTTGGTGTAGACTTTGCCAAAATCTTGAAGTGAACCTCGGATCTCTGTCTGAAATAATACTAGAAGGCACCCCGTGCAACCGTACTATTTCCCTCACATACAACTGCGTCAACTTCTCCAAAGACCACTTGATGTTAACAGGCAAGAAGTGTGCGCACTTGGTCAACCGATCTACAATTACCCAGATAGCATCACTATTCCTAACTGACTTAGGCAACCCAACAATGAAATCCATGGTGATGCTATCCCACTTCCACTCTAGAATCTCCATCTGCTGCATCAACCCACTCGGCTTCTGATGCTCCA